TTACGGAACACCTTACTCGTCCTTTAGATTAGGTGTGTTACATTACGGAACATCTTAATCGTCCTTTAGATTGGGTTTGTTACATTACGGAACATCTTGCTCGTCCTTTAGATTAGGTGTGTTACATTACGGAACATCTTACTCGTCTTTTAGATTAGGTGTGTTACATTACGGAACATCTTACTCATCTTTTAGATTAGGTGTGTTACATTACGGAACATTTTACTCGTTCTTTAAATTGGGTGTGTTACATTACGGAACATCTTACTCGTCCTTTAGATTAGGTGTGTTACATTACGGAACATCTTACTCGTTCTTTAAATTGGGTGTGTTACATTACGGAACATCTTACTCATCTTTTAGATTAGGTGTGTTACATTACGGAACATCTTACTCGTTCTTTAAATTGGGTGTGTTACATTACGGAACATCTTACTCGTCCTTTAGATTACGTGTGTTACATTACGGAACACCTTACTCGTCCTTTAGATTAGGTGTGTTACATTACGGAACATCTTAATCGTCCTTTAGATTGGGTTTGTTACATTACGGAACATCTTGCTCGTCCTTTAAATTGGGTGTGTTACATTACGGAACATCTTACTCGTCCTTTAGATTAGGTGTGTTACATTACGGAACATCTTACTCGTCCTTTAGATTACGTGTGTTACATCACGTGCTTTTATTTTCTCCATATTCTAAAATGCTATAATTCCGAATGTATAATAACTTCAGTCTCGTTACAGAAGATAAAGACGGAGAGGAACTGGAAGTATATTTTATGTGCTTACGTGACTTTATTAGAGCTTTATCTTTTATAACAATAGCAGTTATAATAGCCGATTTTTTTTTATGAATTAAGCTTTTATCTCTGGAGTTGATATATGAAAGACAAAAGTAGTTATTTTAGGTAGCTGTAAAATAGATGTACAGATAGATGAAAATATATATAGGTTGACAGATAAATAAATAGAAAGATAAACTAATAGATAGAAAGACAGACAAATAGACTGATAGATAGATAAATAGATAGCCTGCTAGATAGATGAAAAGAGAGAGAGAGATATAAATGGGCAGATACTTATAATTAGGTAGACAAACAGAAAGAAAGATAAATAGACAGATAGACTGGTAGATTGATAGAAAGGCAGACGGAAGGATAAATAGACAGATAGACAAGTCGATTGATAGAAAGGCAGGCGGAAAGATAAACAGACAGATAAGCTTATAACTGGATAGAAGCACAAAAGATAGAAGGGTAAATAGATAAATAGGCTGATAGAAAGACAAATATAGACAGGAAGATAAACAGATAGAAAGATGTCTGAAAAAAATATCAAGAACATGTATTAAGTGGAGATTTTAACACGCAACCTCTTTTCACAATCATATTACAGACAGTTTTGGAGTTAATGAATTATTTATTAGTTTTTAAGTATACGTTTTGGCAATTATAAAATTGGAGTTTTGAATTTAAAAATAATATAAAGCTTTGTTAAATGTGTGATAAAGTAATAAAGATGACGGTATGAACGCTTTTATAGGCCTACGTCAGCTGTGCTCTAGGACTAGAAGCAGTCGGTTACACTATGATGTGCATGGGGGCCATGAATACCGTGGGGGCGCTAGCAGTCCACCAGTTTGCAAAACACTTCAAGAGACCACTCATTATGGCAGCAGGTTTCGTATTCCACGCTGGACTACTCATGGTCCTTTGGTTATGGAGACCCGTCAAGGATGATGTGGCTGTGTTCTACGTTATAGCTGCCGCCTGGGGGCTCTGTAATGCAGTTTGGGAGACTCTGACCTTAAGTAAGTTTTCATTTCTTAACATTTTTCACCTACATCTATTCTTTAAACATTTTCTAATATTATGTTTTAAGTACTAAACAATGCATTTTAAATTTTCTCTACAGTTTGTTAATTTATCGAATACCTCTTTAAAATCTAGTTTCTCACAAAAATCATAACGCAGTATTCTTATATTACTGTCGAAAAAGATATTTTCTGAATCATCCCTCATTCGTTAGTATCTTTTTTGCTTCAAAGTCAATTATATGTTATGTTATAATGATAAAAAGATAAAAAAAATGATAACTGAATACAAAGTAACATTTATTTAACTATTCTCTGAGACTATTGAGTCTGTGTAAGATGTTGTTAGAAATGCCATTGTTACCTTTCAGTGAAAAATTGGCGCACTTGAATCACATCATAAAAATGTTTACAGTTTGAATTTAGAATTTTATGGCCCTTGTAATGACAAGTATTTATACAACTTTTTTGACATATGTTACGTAGTTTATTAAAGCTTTTAGTTCCATAATTTTATTGAGATTAGCACTAGCTCCAACAGCTTTGCATACATGTTGTTTGAATATTTCTTTTTCATCCTTAGGATCTCAGCGACGGGATAGTGAGCTATTTTGTTTTTGTTTTTCAGTTTTTATTTTCAAAAAAAACGACATTTTCCAGTATGTCAAACATAAGCCGATGGGTCATAGAATATTCCTGTTTGTAGTTTATAAATATGTATATAAGTGTTTGTTTGTGTTAACGCCCTCTTTTGGCAGCTGTGTAACTGTAAATCCACAGTATTCCATAGATTTCAGGGCCGGGCGTGCCCTAGTGGTTAATGTGCCGGACTATAAAACGCGTCTCTTTCCCGTAAAATCGCGCTCCGCACTTTGGAGCCGTGGGTGCGTTATAAGAATAACGACCAAATCCTACTATCTTATTAGACAAGAGTAGCCAAGGAGTTGGCTGTGAGTTTTGTTGAGTAGCTGCCTTCCCTCTAGTTTATCATTGCTAAATTAGGAATAAACATGCAGACGAAGGGAAAACTAACAGCTTGCAATCGGGACGGCAAGCGTGAATATCCAAAATCCCATTTACTTTAATGCATAACGTTTAAAAATAAATTGAAAAGCAATCTTGAAATCGAACTATGTTCTTAGATTAATCATTTGTAAATTTGATGAAAACGAAGCAAAGAATTGTAATAATTGTTATTTTCAGTCGTTTTATAATGAAGATTTATGCCCCCCCCCCAAAAAAAAATTCAATAAACAGGAGAATGGAACAGTCGAAACTAATTTATAATAATTACGGAAAAGGTTGGTTTGAATTTGGTGCATAAATTAATATAGTTCTAAAACGTTTGCTTATTGTTCGATCTCCTATCCATCATGCAATATCTAAATCTAAAGATGACAGAATTCACTACCTAAGGATTATAAGTATAATTAATAAAAGGCAAGTAATAATTACTATACGTTCTTAAGACACGGGATTATAATATCGACTATAAATGTGAAATCTCCAAAAAATTTTGTTGACGTCAGTCTTTAATTAGAGAAACTATCGATCAATGTTTTGGTTATTTTATTAAAGTAAATCATGATTTATCAGAGAATACCTCGATTCTGCTTCTCCAAGTTAATACCAATTAACCAGACTCCCTAGAGCATGATTTATTATATTTAATCCTAATTGATAATTTTTTTATTATTATGGAAAATTACGTATAATTGTTTTTGGAATGAACTACTTATTTCACGCTTAAATTACGAAGGTTATTGGTCAATCACGAATCACCCACACCAGCTTTATGCAGCTACTGGAGAGCTAAATATCTTTTTATTTCAATGCGTGCATGGATTTATGCCACAGCTTTTATTTTGTTCTAGATGCCAATGGTAAATGTTCGAAACGTTTTATTTTTCTTTGGTGTCCTTCTTTAATACTAAGTAGTTTTTTTTTCTCTTTTACTCTAAAACGCTCAACTACCATAATTACACATGATAAATAGCGTATAAGATAAGCTCTTGTTATCTAAAGTATATTGTATAAGATAAGCTTTGGTATCTAAAGAATAGCGTATAAGATAAGCTCTCGTTATCTGAAGAATAGCGTATAAGATAAGCTCTTGTTATCTGAAGAATAGCGTATAAGATAAGCTCTTGTTATCTGAAGAATAGCGTATAAGATAAGCTCTTGCTATTCTGAAGGATAGGGTATAAAATAAGCTCTTGTTATCTGAAGTATATTGTATAAGATAAGCTTTGTTATCTGAAGAATAGTGTATAAGATACTCTTGTTATCTGAAGAATAGTGTATAAGATACTCTTGTTATATGAGGGATAGCTTACAAGACAAATTATTGTTATCTGAAGGATAGCATATAAGATACACTTGCTATCTGAAGTATATTGTATAAGATAAGCTTTGTTATCTGAAGTATATTATATAAGATAAGCTTTGTTATTTGAAGAATAGCGTATACGATACTCTTGTTATATGAAGATTGCATATAAAATAAGCTCTTGTTATCTGAGGGACAGCGTATAAGATAAGCTCTAGTTATTTGTAGGGTATTATATAACATACTCTTGTTATCTGAAGGATAGCGTATAAGATACTCTTCTTATCTAAAGGATTGCCTATAAGATAAGCTCTTCTTATCTGAAGGATAGCGTATAAGCTACTCTTGTTATCTGAAGGATAGCGTATAAGCTACTCTTGTTATCTGAAGGATAGCGTATAAGCTACTCTTGTTATCTGAAGGATAGTGTAAAAGATACTCTTCTTATCTAAAGGATTGCCTATAAGATAAGCTCTTGTTACCTGAAGGATAGCGTATAAGCTATTGTTATTTTAAGGATAAATACAGAACTTTGCATTGTTTGTGGCCACACACTGATGAAAATATGCAACAAAAACGTAATCATATAAAACTTTCTCCTTTTCCGTGGTTTGTATACTTTTATCAGATATAAATAAGAACTACTTAGTTATTAGCTTTTTTGGAAACTACGCCTGTGGCTTTCCTACAATCAGATATTTGTGTTTTCATAGTTGTATCTGCAGTTAGTCTGATACATGTCGGTTTAGTCGCATCAAAATCCCGACTTTCTAGTAGCAAGGACGGTATCTCGTCTGCCACAACATTGTAGTTTACCAAAGATGAACATTTTCTGTAGGACTTTTTGTTTTAAAAACTCTCTGTGTAACATCCAGATGTTTTTCAGCGCAAAGCAACACGACGGGCTATGTGCGTTCTGTCCACCATGGAGAATCGAACCCCAGATGTTAGAGTTGAAGTTCCGTAAATTTACCACTGACCCATTGGAGGACGAAGTGTATTGTACTTTATAAAAAATGTCTTCCCTCTAAACTGTATACATGTAGCCAAACTTTTATCTTTAGGATATTAAGTTTCCAAAACTTTGTTGCTGTTTCTTCTTATTGTTGTTGTTTTCAAGTAGTTATGACAAATAATTTTCGTATTTAAAGTACAATCAGTCATATATATATATATATATATATATATCGGGCAGTGATCAGTTTACAAGTTTTTCTACCAGGAGGCAAGTTAAAACATTTTATGATCGTAATAATATAATTTTAAACACACACACCTCGAGCCAAGTTACACGTCCATAGATAAGTAATTTGTCACTTTAATTCCAAAACTTTACCAAACTTACTTGAATAAGGCACATTTCAGAAGAATCTTGTGAAACTTTATAACATCGCTCTGCATATACTAATACAGTGGCATAGCGCCATCTAGTAAATTGTGCATATCTACCATTAGCGTTAAAATAAAAAATCAATCAAACTCACGCCTGAAGACATAAACATATTTACTATTCATAGCTGAAATTGTTTTTCTGATTGAAAAGAATATTGTTATGGATATAATTTAAATTTTAAACATTTGTCTGGTAAAAATGGTAACGCAGTGATTACTTCAATACCTCGTATTGCTGACTAAAATAATTACGAAACGTTATAATATTTATTCGAAATATATATGCATATGAAAACATAAAGAATAGGTGGAGAAGATACAGTTTGACGATGAAATTAAACCTATATTAAAAAGCCTTTAGATTGTCAACATATGCACACGTAGTTTTGTATTTGGTCACGTTTCTAACTAACAAAGAACCCTCCAATGGCCCACCAGTAACTCTGGGAGTTTGTAACGCTAAAAACCGGTCTTCGATACCTGCGATAGACAGAGTACAGATAACCCATTGTGTAGCTATGTGTTTAACAAAATACACGCTAACAATGTCATATTTTAGTCCAGCGCCTTATAATAATTGATAAATAGTTAATCATTTAGACTATTTTCCCTACGCATCACAGTTATATTACTTAAACGATCGAAAGAGGCATACATAAATCATGTTGGTCGCATGCGCCTGTTTAATTTTTATAATAGGAAAGTTAAACAAATTAACTATCCTCTGATGCAAGACACGGCTTTTGATTACGTCATTCTCATTTCATTACTATTGGTCTAGCCCTTCCACCGACGTCATTTGACTGAGATATGTGATCGATGAAACATGTTATGTCTGAGATTATCGATCAATATAATACATTTTTAACCATGAATAATATTGGATATTGAGATGTATTTGGCCCTATTTATCTCCTTTTATGACTACCGGCGGATAACTTTGGTGAAATATATTACTGTCACTACACGGTTTGCAATATTTTGCAACATTCTATAGAAACTTCTGCGATATAATTACCAGTTAATCCATAAAAAAAATGTTTTCTGATCGATATTATTGAAATTTATAAAACTATAATAAAACGACTGATAATTACAGCATTAATGACTTTTGCTCAAGTGTTTCGTTTCTAACTTATCTTTGAGCCCGATGCATAAATGTAAAACCCAATAATGCGATAAAGTTAAATATGTATAAAGAATTTTCCACTACATCACTTATCATCATAAGTGTTACAGTTTTTAATGTTTAAAAAATCATTATTTGCAGCTATATTTATCATACATTTCATTTTTCATCCAGCATTCGTCGTTACCACATATACGGATGAATGGTATGGCCCCTTCGCCGCTTATTCCTTGGTCCAAGCATTAGGTCTGACTCTGGCCTTTTCTGGCAGTCTGTATCTCTGTCCAACCATGCAGATCTACATTCTAGCAGGAGTTTTCACCCTGGTGGCAATTCCTTACACATGTCTGGAGGTCAGAGTACATCAACAGCGAAAGAACCAGGAGCAGTCAGCCACGTTGTAACATCCTAGAGGTTTATGGCACACCAACATTTTAATTAAACTGACAATTAATAGAACATTTCTCAAGTATTTTGGAATTACCTGTTCTTGTATTTGCCGTAGAGTTGCTAATGTATTACCTTGAAAAATCTATTTTAGCAAACTAAAATGTTAAGGTGTTTTACTGGTTGATGTGTGTGTGTTAACAAATAAGGAATTTCGTTTTGATTATTACAAAAAACATTATGTTTTCACTTGTTATGAAGCAATATTAACTTTGCGTTAATATTTTCCTTTTGATCTCCTTTATACCGCAATTCTTGCATCGCGTTAATTAGCAAATATATTTTATCATTTGCATATTATTCCAAGTATCTTTATTGAAAGTAAAGTGAAAATAAGTAAATAATAAACTGTTTAAACGCCGAAAACAGGCGAAGCGTTAGAAATCAGTAGCATAAAAGTTTTTATACAAATCATGTTAACTGCAGGTACATTTCTTCACAATTCTTAATTTGTCTATCTCAACCAACTATGTTGATCCACAGAAAAAAATTATCTTCGCCTTCTACCAATATTCAATAAATTACAACTGTCACAGCCCCGGTATACGGTACTTTCTTGACTAGAAAACAGTTCTTCTTTACCATGTTTGGTCGACAGCTAAGTGCTTTTTGTTTTGTATTTGTGAACTGATCGGTTTTCCACGTTCTGCAAAGTAATGAAAAATAGTGTTTATACAGAATCTGAGAAGAAGGCTTAAAAAAAGGAAAACAAAAATAAATCATAATTAATAAAGGTAAATATATTTAAGTTTATAGGTTACGGTCGCAAATGGAAAACAAGTAATTTATTTTCAGGCACATTATACTACTGTATAATAAAAATAAAAAAGGCTTTTTTTTTGGCACAATGAAAGATGAAGCCTTTATTAGTTACTTCAGTCGACTAGATTCGGTAACACAGTTACTCTCAACATGATCTGTGAATGTAGCGCCAGCTTAGCTCTACTAATGATAACTATGTTATCGAATCTAGTTGGCTGGGAGAACTGATAAATAATTTTATCTTTCATTGTGTAAAAAAACGTGGTTTTATTTGTTTTGCTATTAATATAGGATAACACGTTTAATTAATTAATATATTTACAATTATTTTTGAATAAGAGTCATTAGTTATAATACTTTTATGCTCTTACTACAAACAAGATTCTTAAAAAAACAATTGTTAAATCTAAGTGACAACGATTGTCATGTCGTCACAACAGCTTCATAGACTATGAACTTTCTAGGTGGAGACTGAGATAGATATTAAATCTTTGAAAAAATTACAAATGTGTTAATCATCAACAAATTATTGAAATGCAGTGAACACTTTACATTCTCAGCCAACAAAATAATGCTGAACATAGTTGGCATAAACACTTTAAATTCTCAGCCAACAAAATAATGCTGAACATAATTCCCATGAACACTTTATATTCTCAGCCAACAAAATAATGCTGAACATAATTGCCCATAAACACTTTATATTCTCAGCCAACAAAATAATGCTGAACATAGTTGCCATAAACAATTTATATTCTCAGCCAACAAAACAATGCTGAACATAGTTGCCATGAACACTTTATATTCTCAGCCAACAAAATAATGCTGAACATAGTTGCCAAATTCAGTAGAGAAATGATCCTGAGATGAATGAGCAAAATAATTAGTCATCTGTCAGTGAACGGTTTTATTCTCCTGAGACGCTGAAACAGTTTGGTGATGTAAAATTCAGCTATGTTTACTTGTATAAGTTTTAACATTTCTTTTTGTGAATAGGGATTTGTATATTTAATTGACCAATAATTTGACAGTTTAAAACTATCGCTTACTATGTTTTCCAAAATGATCTGACCACTTTATACGCATGAGATATTTGTAAGCGTGTGTATACGTATTAGAGTGTCAAACACTGAAGATATAACTTAGTAGTCTGTGTAATAACATTATTAGAGTGTCAAACACTGAAGATATATAACTTGGTAGTTTGTGTAATAACATGTTCGGTGTAAATTTATTATCGTCGCCCACAGTTTATTATGACTAGTTAAATGTTTACATACTTAAATGTAATTGGATTAGTTCGTGGAACGCTCCATGCTACATCTACTATATTGTAATTTGATTTCCTCGATGTTGGTTTCTGCCAATCTGTCCATGAAGGTACATAAACCAATTTGTTGAAATTTTGGCGGGAGATTAAATGTTCAATTATACAATTCACTCCTAAAGTATAAACCTGAATATGTTCTGTGCTGTATAATTAAACAAATCTTTTAAACATTTTAACGCTCATAATTTATGTAATTTAACAGAAATAACGGAAAATAATGGCAAATATTATTAGACCAGTTGTATGTTGTTTGAAGGAAGTTTGTGGTGGATGAATGTGATTCACCTTGGAAGGTTCAAAAGTTTCATCCACCTTTTTAGATAATCTGAAATGGATGGAACTCGTTAAATCTTTCAAGATAAACCATAAGTTAAAAGTATTGAAAATTCAACCAAAATTACAGAAAACAGAATTGTTATATTTGAAGATTAAAATTATGATATCAAGTTAGTAGTTAAAAAACCTCCTACAGTTGGCTATCCTTTATTTAATCCTTATACTAAGACAAAACTAAATAAACCGTATTACTGAAAGCAGGTGCCAAAAACAGAGTTGAAATAAAATTTGTCTTGACAGAGAGGTATTGAATATAGCTTGACAAGTTTCGAAAAACATCAATACTTTTATTTTCATCAACGTGAGTGAATATTTATTCTAGTTGTTCTTGCATTGTTGTGGTCCTCATCACGTATAAACATATTACAACCTTTTATCCTCATCTTCAACACAATCAGGACACACCAAAATTTGCATTCTGTTCGGTACTCAATTTTCATAGGTGTGGAGTGAATATTTATATACCCATATGCATATGAACAATATATATAAGCTTTTCCGAATGTTTGTAAAATATAAGAATTGAAAATCCAACCAGAATCACCGTGTTTCAAAGTTAAAGTAAGAACATTCATAAGACAACATTTCATAGAATCAACCACAAATGTGTATCCGATTTTACCAAAAGCTATCAAAAAAAAAGTGTACAAGTAATCTTGTTTTTAAGTAATGTACAAAGTTACGAGTATCGTGCAATCTTGTCTTTTTAATATACAAAATACGGTTAATTCAACCATGAAATGCAAATACTAATTTTTAGAAAACGCTGTTGTTGTTAAACAGTTAAAAAAGATGTCCAGATTGATTTTCGGATTGTTGGGAATTTCACTTTATCTGGATAATATTCCCCCAGTGGGTCAACGGTAAGTGTAAGAACTTACAGTGTTAACAGTCGGGGTCGTTTTCCCGCGGTGGATAGAGCACAGATATCCTAATTGTGTAGTTTTGCGATAAAACAACCTATGTAACATCTGTAAAAACATCAATTTTATCCCGAATTACAAAAAGTAGCTTTCTTTTCATGTTTTAAATAGTATTTTAGTCTAATGAAATATATGTAAATATTGGGTAGGCATAATTTTATTCCCCCAACTGGGAACATCCATATACAAATTACCTGCTTATCAAGTAAAATACTAAATCCAATTAATTTTATAAAGAAATTTGCATGTGATGTGCTTGTAGTTGTATATATATATATATATAAAGCGCGCGTGTTATAGATTGTCTATGTTGTATGCCAAATGTAAAAATAGTGTTGCCATACAACAAAAATATATATATGACATCACACTTTACAGTTCGTAACACGTGTTAGAGTAAATATTGTTAGATTCATTGAGCAGGTTTTATGACATGTGCTCGACTTGTTTTGTATTTGATGTATCTGTTTCAGCATTTTAAGAAGCTATGAGGTGTTATTCATGTTTATTAACTTAGAGATACGATTTTTTCCTCTGAAAAATTTAACAATTAAGGTATCTTTTTTGACACTTAAGATATACGGTACTGTTTTTAATTTTTAAGAAATTCTAAATGAATTCTAAGTAATGATTGTACCTTAAATTCCTATAGATTATAATGTGATGTTTACGTAGAATCAATAAATGTGAATGATGAGTTTAAATTGCGCATGAAATAATTACTTGAGAGTTACAGAGTGTAAAACTATCAACTTAGTTAGCTGTAGGTCTGTATGCTAATGTTAAATAAAAAAAATAAATAATCAATTATTTTATGGGTTTATTTTAATAATGCGAATTAATATAGAATACACGGCTGTCTGTGTGAACCTAAATAAGGACATATGTTCACAAACTATAACAATTGTTATGACATTTTACCTAAATAAATAATTTGAGATTATTTAATTTTTGTCCCGAAAAACATTAATAATTTGAGATTATTTAATTTTGCCCCGAAAAACATTAATAATTTGAGATTATTTTAATTTTGCCCCGAAAAACATTAATAATTCGAGATTATTTAATTTTGCCCCGAAAAACATTAATAATTTGAGATTATTTTAATTTTGCCCCGAAAAACATTAATAATTTGAGATTATTTTAATTTTGCCCCGAAAAACATTAATAATTCGAGATTATTTAATTTAGCCCCGAAAAACATTAATCACGCAAAGTTTCGCTCAGTAATTTCACAAAATTAGAATTTTAAGGTGTTACGAAATACTAATATGTATTTTTATTATTAATAATATCTATTTATTCAATAAGTGAAATACAAAATATATAAAAAAAAATCAGTGAAAACTAATATCCTGTTTGTTTTCATTGAAATTATTTTGAATCATAACGTTAAACATTGAGGGCTTATAGGGCTAAACTTGGGGATCAATATCCGCATTAGGAACAGCGCAGATTTTGTTTGTAATTAAGCACAAAGCTACACAATGGGCTATTTGTGCTCTACCCACCACGGGTATCGAAACCTGGTTTCTAGCGTTGTAAGTCCCCAGACATTCCGCTGTGCCACTGGGGGGCAACAGCTCAGATAGTCCATTGTGTAATTTAACAACAAACAAAGGTATCATCAAGTAAGAAACCTTTGGCAGAAAGCAAGTGTATTAAGACCGTTTTTTGGGCTTTGTAAAATATAAGATACTTCTTTCAACTTTTGGTAATTATAAATAAGGTCCTTCTTCGCGTATAAATATACTTGATACTTGTTTTCCCACTATTGTCTTTATGAATTTTGAGGGAAAAATAATCCACCTTTAATTTATTTAGCGAACATATAAATAATTCGGTATTTTCGAGGAAATTTAGAATAAAAAATAGTCACGAAACTGTCTCTAACCGTATTTGTATATAGAAACAACAGAGAATACCAAACGTATTTTGCTAATAAATCAAGTATTTGGGCATAATTGTATTTTTTCCTAAAGTAATACTGTCTTTATCAAAACTACGGATGTTCTTCTTATTCATTGCCTTATTACTGTTTCTTATAAGAATAATGCCTAAGATTGATAGTACTCTAACAAATCAATAAAAAAATGAATTCAAATCTGGAAAATGATATATCGTCGGAACGTTTCCCTTGCCAACAAAAATCAATGAATAGATATTGAAACTTTTAACTTCAGATTAAGGTTTTTGCGTGAATATTGTGAGACAATCTTTCACAGATCTCTTGTAACTAACTAGTAATTTATACTTTACCTGGTCGATCATGCTTTAGAAAAGAACAGTAAAAGAAACAAAATAGATTTTTATTCGTTACACAAAACTGTCAGCGCTACTGAAAATTGTCTTTTTTTATTACTTTTTTGTCCACCAGGAGAGTATTTCGTAAAGATCGTAAGATGGAAG